TCCCCAGCCAGCATGCTGGCTGGGGACTTCTGGGAGTTGAAGTCCACACATCTTAAAGTTGCCAAGGTTGAGAAACACTGTCTTAGATGGCATTTGCCCAAACCTCTAATTGCTCCAAGAGCCAGTCCAGTGTACCATACCAACCCAACTTATTACAAAGTATGACTAAGATAATTTGTAAGCTTCCATTTTGAATTTCTGAAATTTTAAAAATGTTATTACTTTAATAGGAATAGCTCTCCCCTCCTAACATCCCCCAAATTGAAACATTTTAATTAAAGGTAAAATGCACAGAATGTATTTACTAGAGCATTTAAGGCTCTGGAACCCTGTCCCATGCTGAATTGCTGGTATGTGAGAATCAAATATTACCTGCAAATCTATTTAACAAAATAATATCGCCCCCCCCGCCCTTTTTTCTTCTGAAAGAGAAAAAAAATTACTTCTTGAGGGGATGGGTTTGAGTGATGGAAAAAAAATAGTTTATCTTTAATTTTTTTTAAAAAAAAGCTTCTCAGTGAAACTGTTTAGAAAATCTACAATTACTATTATTCAGAAAATGAAATACACAAAGGTAAACATTAGAAAACGTGTAATTTTCTCCTTGCGTCCTTCTGTATATATTTCTGCCAGTTCATTTCATGATGAAGTTGATTCTAGTCCACCAAATAAATGTGTTAGTCTTTAAGATGCCATAAAACTGTTTTTAATGCAATAGATGAACACAACAAAAGTAAACATTTAAAAATGGAAAGTATCTGATGCCATCTGCTGGGTTTAACCTGTTACTGCAACATTATTAGCTGTTTTTGTAAGAGACTCTCAGGCCCAAGGGAAGATGAAAAAGTAACTTCGAACTAATGAGCTGGACATCACAATTTTGATAAGTTGATATCTTAGTTATATAATGGTGATGAGATATATCAACAATTAAATCCTACAGGGTCAGTTTCTAAATCCATCTTCAGTTTATTCATACCATACTGTATGGTACATGTAATTCATAGGAACTCCTTATCCAGATACAAATAGCAATATTTTCTATCTACTAAACAATTCTAATAATAAAGGCATAAGGTTTATTAGATTTAGGCAATACTAAGGATTCAAATATAGTAAAATCCTGTATATATATATTTAGAAAATAGCACAGCTTGCCTCTAGTATATTACTGAAAGATACTGAAATCCCTAATAATATTGGCAGGATCAATCCAAGTACACGTTATATACCATTCAGATTAAGTATACGCCCAGATCATCCAGTGAGATGAATAGTTGGTTAAATTAAGTTATGTGGGTTTTTTCTTTCATATCTGGCATCCAGTGGAATGGTAGACATGTAACTTTTATACAAAGGAGAAATTAGGGTAGGGACCAAGCTGAAAGGATCAGTTGATATTGGACAGCAAGCAAGAATGGTCTGCAGAAATAGCTTCAGAAGGAGCAGGAATAAAAGGTTTTAAATAAATGAACAAGGTCTACATGGAACTGCACAAATCAGCACTGTATTGGCATCATTTAATCTGTAGGCTGGACCATTGTTTGTACGTCAGTATCCGAAGAAGAATTTTGACAAATTGTTTTGCATTGTTGCTACGTGTCAGTAATCACGTAGAATGAATTTGACATGTAAAATAGCTCTGGGCCTTTTATTGTGAAGGCTACCATCTCATACATAGTATTGAACAAATGTCGATGCACGTTGTCCTCAGATCCTAAAGAGATGGAAAGGTAAAATGAGAAAAATGTCAGCAGAGGAGGGAAATTTGTTTGCTTTTGGAAAATGCAAATAGTAAATTTGTCTTCCTGTTTTTATCATTTCCAGATTACAATTAAGAATTGTTTACGTACAGGATTTAAGTTCAGAATCCTGATGTGCTTCAAATTAATTTAGCTAAGTCACACTGTTTGTACGTCAGAACAGAGCACAAATATTTATAACTTGTGCTGTTCTGACAGATGGCTTTTTGTGATTTATTTACAGATGCACATCTAATTAGTTTCTTTATTTAAAGCATGTTTATCCTGACTCCTTTATAATCGATTAAAAATAAAGGTAGTTCTTGCTTGTAGGCTTGCAGTCTTAAAAGGCCTGTGAGAAAAAGGAAGAAGAGATGGAAAGTGAAGATTTTTTTTAAAAAAAGCCAAGCTTGACTACAGATTCTTAAATACTAATTGCAATCATGTAATTCCCAGCTGGGTACCATTACTTTTTTGGAAGGACTGATGAAAAAGACTGTTTTCCATCTTTTCTGTGATTTCTCTCACTCTTGTCTGTGGTTCAGTTGAAATGGCCATGATGTAGTGATAGAGAGGGGGGCTTGTGGAAAGTTGGTTTGTCGGCTTGGGTTATTTCAGCAGATTTTTGATGATTAAAAATACTGTTGTTCTCATTATTTACAGCATCCTCAAATACAGAAAGAGTCACAGTATATCAAATACTTGTGCTGTGATGACAAGCAAACTCTACATCATTGGGTAACTGGTATCAGAATTGCAAAGGTAAGAAAAAAAGGATATTTCTCCGTAGTAATAAAGGAGAAAGAAAATGAAATGATGAAAACTAAGAAGGAGTTATCCTCTTGTGAGTGATAAAAGCTAGTGAATAAACACGACCTTAGAGCACATAGAACAGAATTTGTATTGGGAAAATAAATTACTTTGTCAAATAAATAATGGGCTTCAAGTTAACTCCAAACTTCACAAATGCAGATATATATTATGTATATGCGCATCTGCTCTATAGTGGGTTTAACCTAGTTCTTTTTCCTGTGGATTTATAGTCTTGTTTACCAGCTCATAGTTCTTATGGAAGAGATTTCAAACCATCCACTGAAGAAGTAGTTCTATTAAGAACTGATTGTACTAATAGGAAGCAGAGAAATGCATGTTCATTTTTTAAAATGGAAAAACTTTGTCAGATATTTGTGATCCTTTTCTGAACATAGAGCAAACTGAGGTGTAGTATGTTTATTTTTCAGTATGGGAAGGCCTTGTATGATAACTACATTGGGGCAGTACAGAAGGCTGAGTTAGCTTCACATTTGGCAAAGTCAAGGAATACCAAATCCATAGCTTCTGGGGGATCATCTTCAAAAGGTACCCAAATTTATTTATTTTTATTTTTATTATTATTTTGAGGTTTATAAGCTCAGCTTTTTTCCCTACCACGTTGCCAGTCACTATCATTGCATATCACGTTCAATAACAGTTCATTTTAGGATGCAGCTTTTCAGTAATTTAACAAATTTCAATCCGCATCATGAAAATAAAGTCAAGCGTATCTGTTGGATGTAAACCTGAGAAATTTCTCCAAGTGGACAGAGGTTTTTTTTTGTTAATAAGCACTGATGTGGACAACAGTTCTGCAGCCGATGAGTAGAGGAGGCCAAACAGGAAAAGAGAGAAGTTTATTCAGCAACAGTTGCTGGATCTGTCCCGCAGGAGCTGATACTAACAATGGGATTGTTGCAGTACTTAGAAACATGGCTCAATGTAAACGTTCGCCTCACAGGGTTAAACTTTACATTTTGCACATACAAACATGGTCTTCTAAAACACTTCCTGGTTGCTTCTCCATCCTAGAATATCCTGATATGCCCACTAATTTGTTAACTTAGTTTCCTTGTACATGACCTGTCTGTTTAGAGATAATGGAGAATGGCCTTTATTTGGTCTTAATTTGCTTGCTGAGGTCTTGTTCTTGTTCAGTTCTGACCATAATTTAAGCCAGATCTGTACTTTCCTCTTATCCCATTGCCAGTACGGGTGACTCACCATTTCCTGAGTACAGGAATGTCATCTTCCACCCTCTCCTACCTACTGCAAATGCACTCCTGCACCCATATTTTGAAAGTCTGTTTTCCATCCTGAGCCTTCTTAAGCCCTTCTGGGCAGATGTTCTACCAGGCTTCATTCCAATCTAGGACATCATCAGCTCTGATTGGCTATGGTGCCTGGCACACCTCATCCCTTCCAGTGGTTGGTCACTGCCCTGAAGGCCATTTCATGCTTGGCTGCTAAGTCCTCAACTGATCAGCAGCTTCCTTTTTTTCTTCCACTTGATCTAACAGTGACCAAAAAGAGAGTCCAGTAAACTCTCCTGGACACCATGCTTTCCCAACCCCTTATGCCAGCACACACCTGTTCCACCTTTACCTCTCCCAATGGGCACCATTTCAGTTTGTTCCCAGACCAGGTGAAGCATATTCTGCTTCCTTTCCCATCTTGTGGCTTCTGTCCTGCTATGGTTTCCTTTCCCTTTTTAAAAAAATATAGGCAGAGTAGGACATAGCTTTAAAGTTTGAAGGAGTTCTACCCCTTTCATTCTATGAATCTGGTTCTTTATTGCTACAAAGTTTCTATGGACTTGCAGTGGAATTTAGGAATGAAGGAACAACGTGTTCTCTTGGATCATTGTAGCACCAGAGCAGTGATGCTACAATAAGGGGGGGAAAGAAAAGGTCTGTTAGTGTCAAAGGAGGAGATGGGAAGCATCCATGTGTCCAAACATCTGTGAGAGCAAAGGACTAGCGAGGAAGGAACAATCCCTAAAAGTAAAAGGCAGGCACTTGTAGACCTGTCAACACAACTATTGTGTTGTGTTGGCAACTATTAAGGCTTGCCTTTCCTGCATGGGAAGAAGATCAACCAATCAAGTGCTGTGGCCATATTTCAGTAGCTCAGCCCTATTGCCAGAGCACTGAATCAGAGCACTGATCCAGACTAAATTGCTAAACTGGTTTCAGGAACAGCCGAGACCAGCACAGCAGACAAGCAGTGTGGAATTGCCTTCAGCATCAGCCAAAATTTTCTGCATCGTATTTCATATACAGATCAACTAAATTTTGCTCTCTCATTTATTACACTGAGTTGATATTCAAATGCAAGGACCAATTTTCTCAATGGTTCCGTTTCCAGTTATCCTTGACTAAACTGGACAATAGCAGATCATACTCCTACCCAGCTAAGCTCTTAAAGGTTGTACACGGTTCATCATTCCAATTAAAACCAGAAATACATCTATTTTCACTTGTCCAGTTTGCCAGGAGTGTGACATGGTATCCACACTTCCTTTGGAAATTATGAACAATATTTATCCACCATCACTAATTTATAAGCTGTTTTAATGAGCTAGCAAGAGTAGCACATTCTCTTCACAGCAGGGCTCAGTAGTAAATCACAGCTCTTATTCAGCACTTGGATAGTTTAGCTAAATTAGAAACTTTACTGCCCACAAGAATTAAGGCTTATAGACAACAGTTGATTGTCCAATGCAGTGCAAAAAAGTCAAATCTTTATACCAGTGCTTCAGAGTTGAAATGCTAGGCCTTTTTCTCCGTTCCTTCCAGGTTAACAGATACTTGATGGCCTGGGGAGGTATCTGAAGTATGTTTACAGGATGATTCTCTCTGGGATTTGCTGGTTCCTGCCTTGCCAGTCTCAACTCTTAATGATGATCCAGGATAAGATTTTTTTTTTTTTTGCTTAAATCTAATTATTTTTGACTAGCATAAGCAAACTTCTTTCTTCTTTGTTGTATTATTATAGGTAGCACTCATGCAAATGGACAAATCCTCCAGAATGTAACCCTTAATACAGCAAACACTGCAGGGACTGAAAGATCTGCTGATATGCCAAAGGTGCAAGTTAATGTAAGTATGAAAGAACTGTAATC